CTTGTGATAACTTGAAAAGGAGAAAAGAGAGAAAGGGGGACTTGCAGGAAAAGCCCTGGGGGTGCCGGTGCCAGGGGCTGGACACGAGCCCAGGGGTGCCCAGGTGGGCAAGAGGCCACTGGCCCCTGGGCTGGGTGAGGAATTGTGTGTCCAGCAGGAGCAGGGCAGGGATTGTCCCTCTGTGCTGGCTCTGAGAGGCCCCTCCAGGGCTGGCTCCAGTTGTGGCTGGTGCAGGAGAGCCCTGGAGGGGCTGGAGCATGTCCAGGGCAGGGAACGGAGCTGGGAAGGGGCTGGAGCCCCAGGAGGGGCTGAGGGAGCTGAGCAAGGGGCTGAGCCTGGAGCAAAGGAGGCTCAGGGGGCCCTGGTGGCTCTGCACAAGTCCCTGGCAGGAGGGGACAGCCGGGGGGGTCGGGCTCTGCTGCCAGGGAACAGGGACAGGAGGAGAGCTCAGGCCTCAGGCTGGGCCAGGGGAGGCTCAGGGTGGGCAGCAGCAGGAATTTGCCCATGGAAAGGGAGCTCAGGCCTTGGCAGGGGCTGCCCAGGGAGCTTTGCAGTGCCCATCCCTGCAGGTGCCCAAGGAAGGGCTGGACGTGGCACTCAGGGCTCTGGGCTGGGGACAAGGTGGGCATCGGGCACAGCTGGGACTCCCTGGGCTGCGAGGGCTTTTCCAGCAGTTCTGGGATTCCAGGATTCCACAATTCTGGGAAATTGGCTGATTTGCCACTCCAGCTCTTTCCAGAGCTGGGCAGGGACCCCGAGTGACCACGGGGACATCGCAGCCCCGGAGGTGCCGTGCCCAGGCTGGAAAAGCAGGGAAGAAGGAGGAAGAAGGGGAGATGTTCCCTCCAGCTCTGGCTTTGTTTGGATTTCATTCTCTTTCCTTTCCACTCTTAATTCTAACGAACACACAAAGTGAACTTGATGAAATGTATTCACATCAGGAAGCCATGGCTGGGACACAACTTGGGCTTCTGGGGATCTTTCTCAGCAAGATCAGGAGAATTCTGCAGAGTTACAATGAAGCCTTTACTGGAATGTGTTGTGGTTGGTAGCAGAGTTTCTGGAGTTTGAAGGAAAATGTTTGATTAATTAAATAAATGAATTTAATTCATTGATTCTGAATTGCTTCTTCCTGGAAGGTTGAGGATTTCCCATCCCTGGCAGTGCCCAAGGCCAGGCTGGACATTGGGAGCAGCTGGGACAGTGGGAGGTGTCCCTGCCATGGCTGGGGTGGCTCTGGGTGATCCCTAAAATCCCTCCCAACTCTTCTGTGACCTTGTGGCCAATTATTACTTTAACTGTTTCTAGTAATAAACCATTGAAATTCCCCTAAACTATGGAAGATTTGGTTGCTGCTTATTTCAGATTTAAAAGGCACCTTTTTATTCTTCTTTTTAGAAATTCTCAGGACTTTCAACTCTCTGAAATAAATTAAATTCAATGTTGGGATTGACCTTTTAATTTAGCTGTGAGTTGGTATTTACAGAGTACTTGCAGATTTTAGTTTAATTTCTTCTTTAATTTCCTTTGATCCTAAAAGCTGAGTTAAAAATTAAAAAGATCCATCACAGACTTTCGATTCTTTGAAGAAGAAAGGTGGGTTTGAGAACAGGAGAGTTCAGGCATCACTTTGAGTTTAAAAGTTGCTGCTTTCTCAGCATCCAGGTCTGTGGGCTTCGTGTTCACATCTGATTCTTTGGCTTACACACCATTCACATGCAAATTAAAATCTGTTTTGAGGATGGGGTGTTAGTTTTAATTCAGAAATCATTTTGATCGCTTCCCTCCCAAGTTATTTTTTGTGACGTGCCTGCTGCAACTTCCTATTTGCCATTTCTGGAATAGTTTCTCCTGCTTTTGTGTTCACTCAGTGTGGGGTGGGAACATGGAAAGGTTGTCGTGGTCAGGAGAACCTGGGGTTTCCTGTTTGTCCCTTGTTCTGTCTTGGGAAAAATTGTGCTGTAGTTACAGGAGTCTCTGTCCCTGCATCCAGCTGTCCCTAAATTGATCCAGGTCTGGGGCTCCAAGACAAGAAAGGTCTGGAAATGTTGGAATGAGCCCAGAGGAGCCACGGAGCTGCTCCTGGAGCCCTCTGGAGCCAGGCTGGGAGAGCTGGGGGTGCTCAGCTGGAGAGGAGAAGCTGCAGGGAGAGCTCAGAGCCCCTTGCAGGGCCTGAAGGGGCTCCAGGAGAGCTGGAGAGGGACTGGGGACAAGGGCTGCAGGGCCAGGAGCCAGGGAATGGCTGCCAGGGGCAGAAGGCAGGGCTGGATCTTGGGATCTTGGGCAGGAATTGTTCCCTGGCAGGGTGGGCAGGGGCTGGGATGGAATTGCCAGAGCAGCTGGGGCTGCCCCTGGATCCCTGGCAGTGCCCAAGGCCAGGCTGGACACTGGGAGCTCCTGGGACAGTGGGAGGTGGCCCTGCCATGGCAGGGCTGGCTTTGAAGTCCCTCCAACCCAAACCAGTCTGGGATCCCTTCCCCACCCCTGAAATTCCAGGCAGGTGTTGAGAGTCCTCCCATTTCCATTGCTCAGTTTCCAGCCAGCCTGGTCCAGCACAGCCCATTTTTCCCACATTTTCATGTGGGATTCAGGACAGCTCCCACATCTTCTGTTCCCTTGGAATTCTGCATTTCTCTGGATTTTCATCTTTCCTGCCTGCCCTCAGTGATTCTACCCGACCTGCGGCTGCTGCTCTGGGTCCTTGAGGTTTTACAGTAATTGCAGTTTTTAATAATTTTCAGTAATAATTTCTAATGTTTTATTAAGTAGTAAACAACAGCAAGGAAATGGCTTTTCCCCTTAGTTTTGCTGTTTGGAATTGCAGCTTCCTTCTAAACATGGATTTTGCCTTTTTTGATTTCCACCTCAGTAAATAATCCCAGACCAACCTTTTGTGACTGCTGAGCAACCAAAAAAAGACATAATTTTATCCTGTTGTTACTACATTGAAGGGATAATCAAGTAATTGGGATGGAGTTATTCCTGTTTATAATTTGGGATGTGCCCACTGCCTTTAAATGCTTCCTGTTGGACTGAGCAAGTGGCCAGAAGAACTTGAGAAATTTCCTAGCCCTAAAACTCCTGAGGATTTGGTGTTTGCTTCCTTTTCTCTCTCTTCTTGAAGGAGGTTTTGGTGGTTGACAAAGCATATTTCATAGCCAGTGCTGGATTTTCTATCCCTTGGACTTTTCTTGGGGAAATGAGATGGAAAAAGGAGCAGTGGAGCTGAGTCCTTCCACACGGCTCTGGTTCCAGATGGGTGGCTCTTCGTTTTTTAAGAGGCATCACCATCCCAGAGGCTTTATTTCCATGTTTGGTTTGTCTCCAGGCTGTTCTTTGAGCTTCATGGCTGATGGTCATGCCTGAAGCCACTTTGTCACCGGAGAATTCCAATTTTTTCCCAATTCCCCTTTCTTTGAACCCTTCCTGATTGCCAGGTGGGTCCTGTGGGACTGATGGAACACATGGGAGCATTTTTATTCCCTCTGGTACACAACATCCCCTCAGAACGAGGTGGTTGGTGCTGCTCTGATGGTTCTTTGGGCATTTGTAGCTTTAATCCTGGGACACCCCCAGCAGTGCATGGAACAACTTCCTGCTCTTGGATGGGATTGTGCTGAGCTGACAGTCCGGGGAGGAGAGAGGGAGAGGCCACAATCACAGAATTGCTGAGGTTGGAGAAGAACTTTAAGACGATCCAGTCCAACCATGAATCAGCAGCAGTGGTGGGCTCCCCTTTAAACCACGTCCTCAGGACCACAAACCCACATTTCTGGGGCACCTGCAGGGATGGGCACTGCAAAGCTCCCTGGGCAGCCCCTGCCAAGGCCTGAGCTCCCTTTCCATGGGCAAATTCCTGCTGCTGCCCACCCTGAGCCTCCCCTGGCCCAGCCTGAGGCCTGAGCTCTCCTCCTGTCCCTGTTCCCTGGCAGCAGAGCCCGACCCCCCCCGGCTGTCCCCTCCTGCCAGGGACTTGTGCAGAGCCACAAGGGCCCCCTGAGCCTCCTTTGCTCCAGGCTCAGCCCCTTTCCCAGCTCCCTCAGCCCCTCCTGGGGCTCCACACCCTTCCCAGCTCCGTTCCCTGCCCTGGACACGCTCCAGCCCCTCCAGGGCTCTCTTGCACCAGCCACAACTGGAGCCAGGTTTTGAGTTGGGGTGAACCAGAGGTGGGGACAAAGTGCTCAGGGTGTCCCCTCACCTGGGACTGCTTTTGACTTGGTGAGAACTGTGGCATTAACAGGTTTCTGCTGGGCAGCTCGAAAATATGTGGAGGTGAAGAGGTGGGGAATTTGGATCTGTAGACAAAAGTCCTTTGGTTCCTTCTTCCAGGGGCCCTCAGCCCTGTCCATCCCTGTCCATCCCTGTCCATCCCTGTCCATCCCTGTCCGTCCCTGTCCGTCCCTGGGTGCAGGAGGGGCAGAGCAGGCCCAGGCTCTGCTCCAGGCCCAGCAATGGCACCAGAGCCACTGGCAGGGGCTGAGCCCAGCAATTCCCCCTGCACAGGAGCACAACTTGTGCCCTGGGCAGTGCCCAGAGAGGGGCTGGAGTCTCCTCCTGGGGATATTCCACAATATCCACAATCCGTGCCCTGAGGTGGCACCGGGTGAGCTCTGTGGGCCCTTCCAGCCTGAGCCATCCCAGGGTTCTGCACCTTTCCAGAACAAGGTGACAACTTCTGACCACTGACATGGCCCAAGGTCAGTGCCAAAGTTCTCCAGGGGTGAAGCTGCTTGGGAATGGCTCTGGTTTGCCGGTGGGGGCAGGAGGGGTGTCCAGAGCTGGAATTCCAAACCAGGCCCTTCGTGCTCTTGGGAGCTTTTCCTTCTCCCCTCTGGAGCAGCAGCTCCCATTGTCTCCTCTTCCCTCCCCACAGCTCTGGGACTGGAATTAGTGCTGGGCTCTGGGACTGGAATTAGTGCTGGGCTCTGGGACTGGAATTAATGCTGGCTGTTCAGGAAAAGATGTTGGGAGCCAGGCAGGCCCATTTCTTCTGTGCCCAGGTGTTTCCAGAGACTCATAAATAGGTGGCTTGGAAAAATCATCGCTGCCCTGTGAGTCCATCCTTGTCCAGGTGTGAAAATGGGAGCAGAAAATAACCCTGGAGCTGGAAAACTTCCTGTGGGCCCAGTGAGGTCCCGTGACTTCCTCTGCACATCGGAGCTGAGGTTTCCAGGTGACCTTGCCCCCACTATCAGTGAGATAACACTGCCCTGACCTGGCTTTTCCACAAGTCCTGTCCTGCAGAGCGGGACCCTCGTGGTGAGGGATGAGGGGAACAAGGGAAGCAGGAGGTGGGAGGGTGGGATTTTCTGATCCTCAGCTGGGAAAGGGTTGGAACAGAGAGGGGCAAAGGGGGGTCAGGCTGGCTGGGAGCAACAGGAGGAGGGAACAGCACTGGGAGACAGGAATGAACCCAATGGGATCAGAATTGATTGGGAAATTGTTCATTCATTCACCAGGTGACAGCAGCCAGCCCATGGGTTTGGGCCTGGAGGGACAGGACAGGGAGAATGGTTTTAAACTTCCAGAGGGGAAGGATAGATGGGATCTTGGGCAGGAATTGTTCCCTGGCAGGGTGGGCAGGGGCTGGGATGGAATTGCCAGAGCAGCTGGGGCTGCCCCTGGATCCCTGGCAGTGCCCAAGGCCAGGCTGGACATTGGGAGCTCCTGGGACAGTGGGAGGTGTCCCTGCCATGGCAGGGGTGGCACTGGGTGGGCTCTGAGGTCCCTCCAAGCCCAAACCATTCCCTGACTCCATGATCCCGTGCTCACTGCACACCCACACACCTCAGCACTGGGACTTTTGGCTTGGAATTTAACCCATGGACTGGAAACAGTGGGAAACTCTGGGCTCTCCTTGCTCTGGAAGGGATCAGTGCCTGGATCAGCTGCCTGAGCCAAGAGAGATTCACCTGCAGGTGCCCAGGTCCAGGTGCTGTGTAAGAGGCAGCCAAAGGCACCCAGAAGTGGAACCTAGAAAAGGTTTTGGTGTCCAGAGCCCCAAACCTGGGGGTATCTCACTGACAGAAGCCCCTGTCTCAGCTGACCAGGACAATTCTGGGCAGAAGGGGAATGGTTTGGGTTGGAGGGGACCTTAAAGACCATCACAAAAATCCCTCTGATCTCTCCTTGCTCCAGCATTTTCAGCCCTCCCAGTAATTCCTATGGAATGGCAGGGAGAGCCCCAGCTCCAGCCTTTCTCTTCTGTGGGAAAGCAGCTGCTTTTTCTACCACCAAAAGTAAATTTTGGGTTGAATAAGGTGAGGAATAACACATCAGAGAATGCTCCTTTAACAGACCCAGCAGAGGGGAACAGCTGAATTTTTGGGATATAATCCTTCCCTGGGTTATTGGCTATGGAGATGCCTTCAGTTGTGTTTCTAAGTCAAGAGAGGAAGACCTGGGCTTGGAATTCGAGTCACTCCTGGTTCAAAAACCCCAAGATGTAAAGGCTGGGAAGGAAGGATCCCTGAAAAGCATCCCTTGGGATCTGCAGCTGTCTGGGGATAGTGACCCTGCCAGCCAGCAAACATGTCTGGGGTTTAGTCAACACTTCACTTCCACATCCAGGACAAGTGGAGTTCAAATTCTTCCCAACAGACTAATTAGGCAAAATATTTAGAACCGCTGCAATTCCAGTCATGCTTTTGCCATAACATTTGGAGAAACAATGATGCTTTCATATAGACAGAGCATCTGAGGCTGGGAAAACACCCAGGCCCTCTGTGGACACGAAATTATACTCAGGTTTAAGAGCTCTGATGACAGAAATTCCTGATGCATCCAGACTTTGCTTGCTGGGCACACCTGAGAAGCTTTTAATTGGGTGCAGGAGGGCTTGAACTGTTCAATAACAGGGGAATATCATTTACAGCAGGAGCAGGGAGCTAATCAGACAGAATATTCTCTGCCAGAGCAGGCAATGTATATTTACAAAGCTTTTGTAGCTCCTTTGTTGTGCATTCTTTCCACACACCAGCACAGAAAGATCATGTTCACAGCAGCGCCTGCTGCGAGGTGTCACATTGCCTTTGGATTTTTCCAAATAATTAAAAACTAAAAAAAAAAACAACCAAAGAGAAGCGAAGGAATCCTGGAAATGGCCAACAAACCCTTCCATTTTCCTCAGGCTGTGACAAAACCTGTGAAAAACCCAGGGTCTTTGTGCCACATGAACGTGCTCCTGCTTTTTTCCTTCGCCGGAGCGTGTCGTGATGAAAGCGCGGCTGCGTCACCGGCGGCGTGCCTGAGAGAGCAGCCAGCCACTTCCACAAGGGTAGGAAAAGCAAATGCCCAAGAGTTTATGGAGTGACAGAGCCAATTCTTGTCCTGATTTATTGAACCTCCAACTGGAGCACTCCGATTCCCCTTCTGCCAAGTGATGTCGTTGGAATGCCGGGTTATTTTCTCATGCGAAAAACCAAAAAGAAGAAGAAGAAGAAGAAGAAGGAAAAAAAAAATAAATAAAAAAATAAAGCCTTGGAACTCTTAAAATTAAGGACCTTCTCTCCTCTTGTCAGGCTGCAACAAACCCAGCATATTTCTCAGTGTGGCTCTTTTGCCAGTGGCTTTTAAAGCACGAAAGGTGGTTTTGTTTGGGGATTTTGGATATAAAAACAATGGATTATGTGAGGCCAGGCAGGTGAGGCAGCATCCAGAGCAGCCTGGGCTCCTCCTCCTCCTCCCCTGCCTTCCCCGAGTGCCTAATCCTGTAAACACCTTAAGGCAGAGCTGGCTCCTGCCCTTGGTGCTATCAAGTGGGAAGGCATTTCATTTTCCTGGAATGAAAGAGCCAATTTTTGCCCTTTTATGGAGCAGGGGAGGACTGGCTGCAGTGGAAACTTTCCTGCAATAAAGGTTGCCTTGTTTATGAGCCCTTTGTGTGGCACTTGTGGGACCACTCGGTCCTGGGGTTTGGGTTGGAAGGGACCTTGCAGCCTGTCCAGTGGGGCAGGGACACCTTCCACTGTCCCAGGGTGCTCCAAGCCCCACCCAAGCTGCTCTTGGACACTTCCAGGGATGGGGCAGCCACAGCTTTTTTCTGCTCTGGGCTCTCCACCCTCACAGGGAAGAATTTTTCCCCAATATCCCATCTAACCCTGCCCTCTTTCACCTTAAACCCATTCCCCTGGTCCTATCCCATGCCCTTGTCCAAAGTCCCTCTCCAAATTTGTGCCCCAAAGGTCTGAGATCACCAGAAAAGCCACCAGGAGCAGTTCTGCTCTCTGTTCAAACCAGTTCCACCAGTAAAAAAAAACCACGTTTGTGCATAGATCAGCCCTGCCAGACCCAGATTCTTGCTGCCTTTTCAGTTTTGAAATGCTGGTTCTGTTTGTAATTTCCAAAAAGCTGCTTTCACCTCAGAGTGAAAGACCAACCTGACACCAAAAAACAAAATGAGTGAGAAAGCTTTATCAGGGCTACAGTAAAACCACAGAACTCGTTTGTATCTCCAGTTAAAAAAATGACTGAGAGGGGGGAAATAAAACAAGAGACAAAATATCTGAGAGGGAACAAAGAGACCAAATATCCATCTATTTATCTGTCTATCCATCTAATTTTAAACCTCAAATAACACTTAATCCAGCAGCGTGTGGTAGGTGTTACTTTGGAAATGAGAACATGAAATTTCAAGCAATGATATCCTCCTGACAGAATTATTTAACCAGAAATGACAGATAACAATCAACCAGAGGAGCCAAGGGTCTCTTAACACCATTAAGTGATGAAGTTGTAAGAATGACAGCGAAATAATTCCTGGTGTGTTTGTTGACTCGTAGGAGCTGAAGCACCATGTTTCCATGGATATGGAGTTTCTGGTTTGTGCTTTTCCTATTTAAGGATCAATGCTGAGGAGAAAGCAGGATTCAGATCCGTGTTTCTTGTGGAGCGTAAACACCGATATTCCAAAGAGCCAGGTCTCAGCAGGCACAGAAAAGTTGGGATCAGTCCAGAGCCTGCGTTTATGGGGTGAAAAAGGGCTGAAAATCCCCGTCAGCCACTGGGAGGGATCCTGGAATCAGCATGGCCTGGGTTGGGAGGGGATTTAAATCCCACCCATTCCCAGCCCTGCCATGGCAGGGACACCTCCCACTGTCCCAGGAGCTCCCAATGTCCAGCCTGGCCTTGGGCACTGCCAGGGATCCAGGGGCAGCCCCAGCTGCTCTGGCAATTCCATCCCAGCCCCTGCCCACCCTGCCAGGGAACAATTCCTGCCCAAGATCCCAAGATCCAGCCCTGCCCTCTGCCCCTGGCAGCCATTCCCTGGCTCCTGGCCCTGCAGCCCTTGGCAATTGTCTCTCTCCAGCTTTCCTGGGGCTCCTTCAGGCCCTGCAAGGCCACCCTGAGCTCAGCCCAAAGCTTCTCCTGGCCAGGCTGAACAATGGCAGCTGTGCCAGCCTTTGCTGCCAGCAGAGCTGCTCCATCCCCCTGCTCAGATCCCTGTCACGTTCACATTCACCTTGTCCCTGACACCAAACCCCCAGGACATTTTTGCTCCCCTCACAAACCATGATGTGGCACGTGGCAGAGGTGGCTGGGCCGAGGTCCCATGGATTTTGGGATTCCAAGGCACCACCAGCCCCACCCAGCTGCGTGTGAGGGGCTGTGATCACCCCCCAGTCGAGATTTTCCCCCGGTGAACGTTCCTGACTCCTTCTTTTTCCCCACACTCACATTGCCACTGATGTTCCCCTCCACCCTGACATCCTGCTGGTCATTCCTGTGCTTGTGTGGCCACAGGGTCACAGGTGTGACATCCATGAGGACACCCAGGCAGAGCAGGACATCAGCAGGGAACGCTCATGGAGGGAGGAGTTTGATCAGCAAAACCCTGTCCCAGGGCAGCATCAGAGAGCTTTCATTTACCCAACCTGCCCTAAGGAAGGAGTTTAAAAAGTGCTGGATCTTCTCTGAATCCCAGAGTCAAGGCTGGGAGAGCCCTCCAGGATCATCCAGTCCCACCCAGCCCCAGCAGCATCACCCCAAACCCTGTCCCCAAGGGCCACATCCAGACTCCTCTGGGACAATTCCAGCCACTCCAAACCTCCCTGGGCAGCTCATCCCAAGGCCTGACCGCTCTTCCAGGGAAATTTTCTTTCCCAATCTCCAACCTGAGCCTCCCCTGGTGCCATCTGAGGTCGTTTCCTCTCATTTTTTCCCTGCCCCTCCTGTCAGGGATTTGTGCAGAGCAGTGAGGTCCCCCCTGAACCTCCTTTTCTCTTTCTGGCCTGTCCCTCTCTGTGCTCACAAACACCAGGTTGTGTCTGGTTTATCCATTCTGGTCTTACAGAATCAGCTGGCACTGGGCCAACCAGACCATAAATTATCAGCAATTTCTGTTGAGAGCAGGGCTCTGCTGCCCAGCACCCCCAGGAACTCACCAGGCTGAGGGACAACAGGGTTCCTGCAAAAATGTGCCCCAGGCAGGGCTGTGACAGTGACACCAGCAAAGAGAAACACCTCAGACCAGAGCCAGACTCTGTGGAAGGGGGAATGGTGAGAAAAGAAGGAATAATTGGGCAAAACACAGGTTCTCTGTTGGAAGAAAATGGTGACAAAATCTGCGAGATGTTTAATGGTGCGATTCACTCGTGGGGAAGAATTTGTTCATCAGCAGGAATTTGCCCATGGAAAGGGAGCTCAGGCCTTGGCAGGGGCTGCCCAGGGAGCTTTGCAGTGCCCATCCCTGCAGCCATCCCTGCAGGTGCCCAAGGAAGGGCTGGACGTGGCACTCAGGGCTCTGGGCTGGGGACAAGGTGGGCATCGGGCACAGCTGGGACTCCATGGGCTGCGAGGGCTTTTCCAGCACCAGGAAATTCTGGGATTCTGTGGGGACAGAAATCATCTCTGATTTGCACATTTTGAACTGTCAGAATTCCAGACACTCGATGGTGCCATCAGGCAGGCTGTGCCAGGCATCTGTGAGCATGGAAAGGGATCAGGATGTTTCCCAACACTTCTGGCAGGCCGGGCTGTCTGTGTCCCTTCCCAGCCAGTGCCCCCCGTGCTTTTCCCTCGCTGCATTCCCAGATGGGATTGGGAACAGCAGAAGCTTTGCAGGCAGGAGTGACCCAGCTGGAATCCTCCCTCCCAGGGGTGGTGTGAGGAGGATGAAGATTATCAATAATCACCACATAACCCAGGACAAGAGAGAGGGGAACGAATCAATGGATTTAGCAGTGAGGAAGGGACTGAACTTCCACTGTTTCGTACAGAAACCTCAGGAATTCCATGCCCAGAAACGCTGCAGGTGTGGGGGTGGGACAGAGGCACCAACAGCTGAATTTTCCTCCCACTCCTGATCCCAGCTCACAAACCTCTGGGACAGCAGAGATTCCACTTCCAGCTTTGTTTTGAATCCCATTTCCCCCCATCCCTACATTTGGGAGCAATCCTCTGCTCAGGCCGAAGTTTCCCTGCTTCAGAGAGGATTTGCCTGTATCCTTTGAGGCACAGGGGAGTTTTGCAGGGCTGGGGAATGAAGCAGGACCTGGCAGCCCTTTCCCAGCTCCTGGGCACAGGGAAGAGCTCAGCCCCTCATGGTCCCAGCAGGACCAGGCATTTCCCCCCTCCCCTGATCTCAGGGGGATGCTCAGCCACTCTGGAAAAACTCGGGTTATTTTCACAGCAATTAAGTCATTTCTTGGCTCCATCCTGCCCTGGGCTGCTCAGCAGATGGAGGGGGCCTCTTTTCCAGCCCTGCCCAGGTTCTGGGCAATCCCCAAATCCCTGTCTCTCATGGGGACACTCCAGAGCCGCTGCTTTGGTGGCTTTGTGAGCGCCACAGCTGCCTCTGGGTGTGTTTTATTTCCAGAACGTTCTGCCTGGACCATCCTGAGGAATCTCGGTTTGGCCAAGCGGAGCTCCTGCCACTCAGGGCCCTTCAGCTGAGCTTCTCCCTCCCTAATTTGGGCAGCTTTGAGCTCTGCTGTGGCTCAACCTTAAGCCCATTCTTTCATTTGTTTTTTTCTTTTCATTTTTAACTAAGATCTAATTACACCCAGCACACGGCCTCACGAATCAACCTGATTCTGTTGTGACAAGTTTAGCCCTGGGTGTGTGATCTGTCCTAGGAGATCACACAATTTTTCCTTCTCATCCCATTTAATAAATAAAAAACCAAAAAAATCCTCTTGCCTGCCCTCTTTCCCTTCTGATTTAATCATCAGCTATTGAAGTGACATGGAGAATAACACCTCCATTTGCCCAAACTGCTCAGCCTGGCATCTGACAGCTCTCAGGATCACAGAACACTTTCCCTGTTTACTTCCCACCCTGGCATGGACCTTCTGGTTCCTTCTTTCTGTGCCTGATACCGACTTGGTGGCTGCTGTCCTGCTCTGGGGGAAGAAATGAAGGGAGGAAAGACAACTGAAGGCTGTATCCAAGGAGATTTTTGTGGGAAAAAACAGGAGCAGAACTACTGTTTGTGCCTTCAAATCACCTGAGAAGGAGCAGGTGGACAATAAATC